ATTGTGCTGACACAGAACCAAATCACTCCCTCTTATGCAATTTCTCAATTTAGGTGATTTAAAAAAAAACCTGCAATATTAACAGCCTTACTTTGCTTCCACCTTACTTAAACCTCGACTTCTCACAATGTTAATTTGGTGACAGCTGCTTAAAATTGGTTATTGTATTTGACTTGTCCTTGCACATGAAATTAGTGGTAGTAAAATTTATATAACAAATAAACTATACTGACAAGACATCATTTGAAATGTTTGATAGGCAGGTCAATAAAAAAAATTCTTAAAGGCTCAGTATAGCGTTTATATTGAATCAATTAGAAACCATCAACAGTTTTATTATTTAACTGATATGATATTAAAACACACAAACGCACAAATAAACTAATAAGAGAAAAAGATTAGAACATTGCAATGAATAGTATAAATATTTGTATTTACATTACCTTATACACACACAAAACCTGACTTTTGTTATAGATAACATCCAATTTATAAAAATTCAATGAAAAACAAGGAAACAAATGAAATGCTTGATTTAAGGTTGGACAGAAAGTGGCAGAAAAGTGAAATCTTCACTGACACCAACTCACCCTTTGGATTGACCATTTGTTCTGTTTTCAAAGAACTTGATATTCAACAGATCTGTTACACCACACTCTTGCAAATATTCTGTCAATTCTTGATCATTTGTCCACTAAACCAAGAAAAAAGGCAATTATCCAATCAGGGTTTGCATTTCTGATGCTAGGAACAATTATTTACCTGCAAACCTGATAATTGCATATTACAACAGCATGAAATCATTTTCAGACATCTTACCACTGTTTACTTGAGTAAAAGCCCTGTTTTTCAATAATCACTTTGATAATAATTTCCCTTACAGCTATAAAGCTACCATAGTTAACAACTATTCACCGAAGTGAAGGTGGTGAGTGGTGGATATTTACTGAGTTGCTTGGAGGTAAATAGCAAAGGATATTCTGAGTTTGACTAGCCAATCAGAGTGCGCCTTGAACACTATCCACTGTTTTAGTATATACTAATACTGCTTAATCCTTCAATCTCTAAGATCTGATTTTTAATTCTCCCTTGCAGCTGCTGCACATTTCCTTATCAATTAGAAATGAGAATTTCATGTTGAATCAAGATAACTTCTACCTGATAAGTTTCAGTATTTTCATTATGGATAAACTGGATTATGTAAGGATATGACTAGGAGAAGTTTCTTGTGAATCATTTCTGGGAGTTAGAGGATTAAGACCTACGACTTTACTCAACTAATAACAGTCCTTCTCAAACGGTTCAAATAATAATAATAATAATAATAATAATAATAATAATAATAATAATAATAATAATAATAAATTTCCTTTCCAGGATACGAAAAAGTGATCAGTGACCCATAAACATAGTAATCATAATGCCTTGATAAGGTGATGCTTGAGGGTTTCGGTGACATTTTCCTTGTAAAAAAAACAAATCATTCCCTCAACCCCCAATGAAGGGGCTATTCAGGTGGAGCATGCTCTCCTCAAATGTTCTGGACCTGGGCAGAGCCTGTGAGTGTTCACATTTCACTATTATTAAGCAGCACAAGCCATTGATGACACTTATTAAATATCTGACATACCCATGTCAAGTTGCCAACATATAAAGGTTTTCCTTTGTTTCTTTCATAGTAGGTGTGTGAGATTCGCCCTGCTGCTGATTTAGGATGGACTGTTGTATATGATTTGTATTCATAAGCTCCTATAGAAATACAGTTGGAATCAAAAACATATTAAGTAAAAGACAAATCATCGAAATAACAATTATACCATTAACCCTTTGACCTCTAATTTCTTCTTAAAATATGACCTCTTGATCAGACATTCAGATCATGAGAATATAGGAAATGAACACCAAACGAAGCTCTTGATTGTTTAACAAATTCTCCTTGACCGTACCACAGGAAATGTTTAGAGAATAGTATTCATCATGCTTAGATCGTTGTTTACTTGCCTTCATGGCCAGAAATTGCACAGCGTTAGGTTGAAAATTCTGAAAAAACTTCGGTTTGAGGCAAATCTTCTATTAAACTATACTTTTTGAACACATTGTTACTCGAACATAATATTTACCGGGCCATCGAATCGTCAAATTGTTGCCAGGCCCTGCTTGAAGTCCGAAAGTTAGGTTTTCACTTTGCGTCCTTAATTCGCGTCGCCTTAGAGAATCGTAGTGTCGTTGACTCGAGAGCTTATTCTGTCACTTTTAAGACCTGGATATCCATTCTTTTCCAAGCAGAGTATTCTATAACATTGTTAC